CAGCCCTGCAGAGGGGCTGCAAGAAAGGGCGTCCTCCTAAGAACGGCTCACGAAAGCGGTCCCACCTGTACTTGAAGGTGAAGCCCGTGCGGTCGGTGCCCACTCGGTACTGTCGTAAGAACTCCTTGAAGCGCCTCTGCAGCTGGGACTTGCGGGCCTGGCCCTCGTCGGCGCCGGGGTCGCCACCGAAGCTGTCGCTGTAGAAAATGCCGGGGTCGTCGAAGCCCGACATGACTGCACCTGGGGCGGAGAGACAGATCTGAGCGGCTGCCGAGCCTCCTCGGCCTCGGCCCAGGCCTCCCACAGCGTCCTTGAGTGGCTGTACTCACAGCCGCTCCACACGAACCACCGCTGTCCTAAACAGAGCCGGCTTTCGCGGGAAAAACGAGCCTTGACGTTCGTCCGCCGCTGCGTCTGCGCTCCCATTGGCTCGCTCGGCCCCGCGGCCAGCTATTGGGCCACTGTGAGCCCGTCGAAACCCGCCCCCAGACCGGCTTCCCAAGATGATTGGCTGCGATTCTTGGTGACATCACGCACCACCGTCTTCCGGTCTCCATTTTGTGAGAGGAATGTTTTGGCGCGAAAATTCTGAGAGAGAAGGAAGCTGTTGACTCTGGCGCGAGCCGAGCCCCACAAAGATGGCGGAGCGTCGCCAGAGCTTTGAGCTCGTCCCTTTTAGGTCTTGCGAGGAAACCGAGCCTGGTGGCGCAGGTCAAGGCCAGTCTGGGCGACTCAAGTAAAAAGATGAGGCTAGAGAGTGGCTCAGTAAAGCTTGCTGTCCTTGCAGAAGACCAATCTTGGTTCCCAACGCCCAAGTCAAGGCCTCCCAACTGCCTGTAACTCCAGCTCCAGCGGATGATCCAGCGTCCTCTCTGACTTCTGTGGGCGGTGGAAAAATCTTACTGCTCTTGTGGAGGACCTGGGTTCTGTTCCCAGCACCCACATCGGGCATGTCACAGGCCTGTAACTATAGTTCCAGGGGGTCAAATGTTCTCCGGCCTCTGCAGGCAGAGCACTTTCTAATTGGGTACGCACAAAGCTCACGAAGGTATACACAGACACAGGAAGGGTATGGTGATTTGTTCTAGCACTTGAGTGAGGCACCTTAAAGTGGGGAGGAGAGTGCTCATCTGTTAAGAGCACGGGCTGCTCTTCCAGAGCACCCTAGTTCAATTCCCAGCGTCCACACGGCAGCTCACAAACTGTATCTACAATTCCAGGGAATCTGACACCCTCGCATAGACAAAACACCAATGTAAATAAATTAAAAAAAAAAAAAAAACGTAAATACTATATGAGAAAAAAATCACCCTTTTCAGAGTAACTGGGTGTCTTCTTGCCCCAGCCCAGCAGGAGGTGCTGTCCTAGGCAGCTCACTTGCCTGCCCCTAGATAGAACAGATGGTATCAACAAACCTAAGCTACCAAAGGTGTTTTCTTTCATCCAAATTCAGGAGAATGATAATGGTGGTAGAAAGTTTTTAATTCTTTGGCAAAGCTTAAAACGTTAGAAATTCATGATCAAATTTCCAAACAAAAATCTTGAAAAAAATGACAAACTTGGCACAGCCAAGTTTCCCCTTGATTGAGTTCCTACTATATACATGGAAGGAAACTTGTGCCACAGCCACTCAAAGGTGTGTTTACAGAGAGTAAAGTATGAGCATTTTTTTTGTAGTTTATAAAAAATATCAAGTAAATCAAGAGATATGGCACATTCTATTTTAAGTTGTTCTATTCTCTTTTTGACCAAAATCTAGGCCCTGAGTCTGTTCTCAACAGTTGTCACCAACAGCAGGGGTGTAATTCCACAGGGTTTGCTGGGGCCTCCTTCAGATGGGATACTTGACTTACTGCACAGAAAAGAGTTTTAGGAAGAGTCAGAGTGATGAATGCTCACTCTGGTCAAGCAACGGACAGTCCTGGAGAGATAGCTCAGCAACTAAGACCCCTGGCTGCTCTTACATAGAATCCAAGTTCAGTTCCAACACACACACACACACATATATACATATACATATACATATACATATACATATACATATACATATACATATATATATATGGTGGTCACAACTATCTATAACTCTAGTTTCAGGAGATCTGATGCCCTCTTCTGGCTTCTACAGGTATCAGGCATACATACAGTAAACATGTAATGCAGGCAAAACAGTCATACACATAAAATATATCTTAAAAATTAATAAGTTGCCAGGTGGTGGCAGCACACACCTCTAATCCGTAATCCAAGCACCTGGGAGAGAGAGGCAGGTAGATCTCTGAATTCCAAGCCAGCCTAGTATAAAGAGTGAGTTCCAGGGCCTGGAGAAATGACTCAGAGGTTACGAGCACTGACTGCTCTTCAGAGGTCCTGAGTTCAATCCCAGCAACCACATGGATAATTAATAAATAAATAAATCTTATTTAAAAAAAAAAAAAAGTCAGTTCCAGTACAGCCAGAACTACACAGAGAACTCCTGTCTTGAAAAACCACAAATAATAATATAAATAAATAAATAAACTTGAATGGATAGATGTACTTAAGGATAGGCAAATGCTGGCAAGTGTTTCAAATCAGTTAAATGGGCAACTTGCCGACTTTGAAGTTCAGCTGCTTATAGGAGTGAACCTACACGCACTAAAATGGGAGGAGAATGGGATGTGTTGATCTACTCATTTCCTTTTCAAAGTTTTTCTTTTTTTGTTTGTTTTGCATTTTTGTTTCTCAGGATAGGGTTTCTCTGTGTAGCCTTGGCTGTCTGAGAACTAGCTCTGTAGACTAGGCTGATCTCCAACTCACAGAGGTCCACTCACAGAGGTAATTGGATGAAAGGTGTGCACCACCACCATCTAACTGTTGGTTTTTTTAAGTTTAAGATATTTGTTTTTATCTATATAATAGTTCATGCTGGATTTTTTTTCCTCTTGCTAGTTTTACTCCTCTTTGAAGTCTGTCCAGTTTTAACTAATCTCTGGTTTTGTTCATCTCTTGACAACTGATAGAAACTACTTAACTCTTCTTTTGTGGAATTCAAAAAAAATTTCTCTTTGTTTCCTCTTCATTCCCTTTACTTCCCCACCCTTCAGATACTATGTGTGAACTCAGGGCATCCCACATGCTAGGTAAGCATTCTACCACTGAGCTACATCCCCAGCCTTTTGGTTTAACTTTATATGTTTGGATATTTTGTTTGCATGTGTATCAGTGCACTACATGTGTGCTTGGTACCAAAAAGGACAGAAGAGGGTGTTGGATCCCCTGGAACTAGAGTTACAAACTGTTGTGAGCTACTATGTGGGTACCTCAAACTGGGGTCCTTTGTAGGAGCAGGCAGTGTTTTTAAGTGCTGAGCCATTTCTTCAGGATCTCCCCTTCAACCTTTCTTATTTTATCACAATGAATATATTTATAGATGAGGAAACTGGGTCCAGAGTAGGAACTACCATTACTATCTGATGTCTATACTTTGCATATATCTATATCTCTAGCCTTTATTTCATAAAGAATGGCTTCTGTGCCTACTTGGTTGTATGAATATCTGAATTCTCCTGAATGCCTTTCCCACCTCTTGGCATAAAGCTCTGAGCTCTGTGGCTAAGTACCTTCATGGAGTTCTGGAGTTTCTGCATCACTGTATTTCCGTCATCAGCAGTGGAAGGAGGGGTATTGCTCATTTTTTCCCATGAGCAAAATGAGATTTGAAACAATGTACCCAAGATTTCAGACTTGGTAATAGAGCCAATATGAGGGACAAAGATCTGCTGACTCCCAGACATTTGGTACCTGTGTTACAAAGCAGCTATTTTGTCTCCTGCTCTGCCTTCAGTGAACAGTTTTACTTTCCCACAGTGGGAGCCATGTTTAGTGTTTGCATGGCCTTCATCACCTGGGTTGAAATCCTTTCTGACTTTGGGCAGGCTTGCTGTGAGGATTTACACAAGCTTGACATATGACTCCTACAGTACAAGAATCAGAAGACACTGGCTTCCGTCTGCATACGAGAGCTGTGGTGATGGAAGGCCTTGGGATTTAACATGCTTCTCAACACACAAGGGTGTGAGGTCAACATCACTGTATTAATGTCACAGGTAGTGGATCTAAGTCCCAGAGGGGTTAACTGACCAACTCCAAAGACAAATAGCAGATGGTTTAGCAGTTAAAATGCTTGCTGCCCAAGCCTGAACTCAACTTCTGGAACCTACATAAAAGTGAAAGAACAGGACTGTATCCTCATAGTGAGTACAGGGCTGTGCATCCCAGCACACACACACACACACACACACACACACACACACACACACACACACACCGCAAGCGAAGTTAGAAAGAGAACTTGAACCTAGGTATTTGCCTCTATCCCTAAGTACCATTATTCAAAGCATAACAACTTTACCCCAGCATCTGCCCATTTCAGCCTCAGTAAATGTGTCTGAAGCCAAAGATAGGCCAGTTAGGCATGGTGTGTGTGTGCTTGTAATCCTAGCACTGGTGAGGCAGGGACAGGAGGAACCCTGGAGCTTACTGACCACCATTCTAACCGAATTAGGGAGCTAGAGACCAGTGAGACATTATCTCTAAATAGAAGGTGGGCTGGCCAGGTATGGTGGCACATACCTTTAATCCCAGCACTGGAGAGGCAGAGGTAGGATGATCTCAGTAAGTTCAAGGCCAGCTGGTCTACATAATATAACAAGTTTCAGGCCAGCCAGGGTTATATAGTGAGATCCTATCTAACTAAATAGAAACCAAGGTGAACTGTTCCTTAAACACCTGAGACTGACCTTTGGCCTGCACACACACACACACACACACACACACACACACACACACACACACACACAAAGATCTGCCCAACTGTTTAAAGCTTACTTCCCACGTCAAGCACAGTCCAAGACTGCAGCTACCAATGTCACCATCACCTGCCCTCCTGCCAAGCATGGAAGAGACAAGAGAAGGGTAGGGCCTGTTTCATGGGCAGCAAGACATGAAGACACTTGTAGTGACTGTCAGCTAATGTTATTTATTATTTCACACAAAAGTCAGAGAACAAGGTTACAAATATTAAATACCTGTTTCCCACCCACCCCTCAAAAGACAGCCCCACTTTGTTAGAAAAAATAAAACAACACAAAATATCGCCATTTGGGGGAAATAATAAAAAGACAGAAACACAAGACAGAAAATCTCTGCACACAGATATCAAAGTGCCATGACGCCAGAGGAAAGTAGTCATGGCCAGTTAACATGGATGCCAGCAACCAAGGCACTGGGCTCAGAACAGCTGCCACTTCAGGCCTTGTTTTTTTTTGTGTGTGTGTGTGTGTGTTTTCTTTTTTAGTTTTTTGAGACAGGGTGTTTCTGTGTAGCTTTGGAGCCTATCCTGGCATTCACTCTGTAGACCAGGTCGGCCTCAAACTCACAGAGATCCGCCTGCCTCTGCCTCCTGAGTGCTGGAATTAAAGGTGTGTGCCACCACCGCCTGGCCAGGCTATGGTTTTTGGGATCTGCAGAAGGAATTGGGGCTGCTGGTTTCAAAGTTCAGGCCACTGTCTGGATATGCTTTTGGTGAGGGAAAAATATGTCAAGCATCTCCCTCCTTTGCAGAGAGAGAGGGAGACACAGGGAGGGGTCTAGGAGCCCCAAAAGCTTCTTAAGGCCCAAAAGAAGGGAGCCAGGCAAGATTCTCTCATACAGAAGAGAAGGCCCTTCACTGGTAGAGTTCACAGCCCCTGGGGCAGCACATTTGCTTTCACATGGCATAGATTGCCACTGCCACTGTTGCCATCAGAAAGCTAAGGGTCAGGACCCATCGGAGGAGTGGTGTTTGGGATGGACTCGTGCTGATCTGGGGCTTCCCTCCGGATGTCTCTGCAGGTGTAGAGTTTGAAAGAGAAAGATGGAAAAGGTCAAACACATGCAGCCCTGGCTGTATGACATTAAATTACACAGAGTAAAAGGAGACTTAGTGTGTCTGTCTCTAGTACGGTTCCAGGCCAAGGCCACGATTCTGCTGTAGCACAGAGTATCCACCAGCTGCTGCTTGAATACCTTCAAGCTGTTCTCTCAAGCTGTTCATTCTTCCATGCTCAGTCATGTCTATAAGGGAAAGTCCCCTGACCCAACCAAGTAGCTAATTCCATCAACTGGTCACATTTCAGCCCACTAGAAACAATACTACTAGTAACAGGGCCATGGGGTCCCATCCCAATGGGGAGACCCTTATGCAAAAGTGGGTTAGGATGGCATTGAGTAAGACAGCTTGACATAACCTATCCTGCCCATCCTCTCATCACCCACCCCTGGGCAACACTGTCCCAGAAGTGGCAGGCTCAGGGAAGGTACATTTTCTGTTGCTTAGGTCTTTCTGGAAGTCTACGATAGCTCCATCTATCATGAAGCAAGGCACAGGAGAGGGGGCTGACACCCAAGATCGAGTAATTACATGTCTTTCTGGCGTCCCCTGGAGGGTCAGCACTGAAAATAGGCTCTCAAAGCCCTGATTCATATGGGGGCCTTCCGGGAGCCTTCAGTGGGTCTGGAAAAAGAAACACAATCCCAGCTACTTGTGAAAAATTGACACAGGATGACTGTTTGATCCCAGGGTTTGAGACCAGCCTGGATAACCTAGGGTGACTGCCTCAAAAAAATGCTTCTCTCTCTGCGCTAGTGACTTCTAAGAGATTTCTGTACATCTCAGCCAATGTAACTAGAGCCCAACCACCTGACTTCCCAATGTGGGGAAACTGAGGTAGAAAGCCTTACAGCTCACCCAGGGTCACCCTGGGCCCTTTTGTTTGTACCCTATTTCTAATTTAAAACATTCAGAAAAGAGGAGACTAAAGAAATCACAGAGACAGATAGCTGGACTATGTTCCTGCCAAGAAGAGCCAGAGGCAAGAGGGCACCTTTACCTTGCACCATGCTGCCCGGCCGCTGGCGAAGGCCCTCCATCTCTGAGGGGCTCTGATCCTTGTGGTTCTGTGTCAGCAGCTCCTGAAGCTCTTCAAACAGCTAGAAGACAAAACATACTGCCATGTTAATGAGACTCAGTGGTGACCCCAGGTCAGGCAGAGCTGGAAGCATGCTATGAAATATTGCAGAAATGACACAATTTAAGAAAACTACCACACACCCGGGCATCTTTCACCTGCCTAATGAGATATGACAGGTTTGGCTAGTTCCCCTGCCTGTGTGCCCCAACTGCCACCAGTAACAGCTGTCCTCAATCTGGAATTCATGATTTTATGTGTGCCCACAAGGGGGAGCCATTTTGCCTCATCTGAAACAACATTTGAATGTGTGGACATTGGTGAGCTCATCCTTGCTAAAGATGTGCCATAGTTGTCCCTAGAGTGTCCCTCAGGTGAGGAATCCACAGCTCCTGGAGTAGGGCTTGCTTGAGATTGACTAGGGGTCAGAATCAAGACCCAGCTCCCAGCTGGGTTGAGTCTGTTTGTTTGTTTGTTTGTTTGCAGACAGTGTTGCCTATGTGTAGTTCTAGCTGTCCTGAAACTTGCTCTGTAGACCAGCCTGGCCTTGAACTCAGAGAACAGCCTGTTTCTGCTTCCCAAGGAGTGCAAGGATTAAAGATATGTGCCACCCAGCTTCATATCCTCAGAAAGAAACAGATGGTTTAGATGTGGTTGGAATGAGATTTGAAAGGATAATTCTCTAACAGGTGCTTGCCTGGTGAACCTTTTAAAAGATCCCAGGCTGGAGAGTGGGGAGCCAGGAGGTCATGAATTGGAACCCTGACTACCATAGCATCCCATCAACAGGACACTATACCCATCCAGTGCTATCTTTCAGGTCCTTGCTCAAAACCAACTTTCCTAGGGGCTAGAGAGATGGTTTAGAGGTTAAGACCACCGGTTGCTCTTCCAAGGAACCCGGGTTCAATTCCTAGAATCCACATGGCAACTCACAACCATCTGTAATTCCAAACATACATACATGCAGGCAAAAAAATAAATAAAAAAATAAACACTTCTAGGCCCACATTTTCCTCTTTCTTATACTGAGGCATTTGCAGAAAGAAATGAGATACCTCTGTGATGTGTAGGAAGATCTCCAAAACAAATACCATCTGAAGCATTTCAGCCTCTGAAAACCTTACAGCCAACCTGTCTATGCTCAAATGCACAAGTACCCTTACAGTCACTCCACTGTCATAGGATGCAATCTCCATGACGGTCATGTCCCACAACACAAGAGAGCAATGACATCACAAGGCTTACCCCATACTAGCCCTTCCCCAAGGTGAACTGCATCAACTTGCTTACCCCTCACACCGTGAAGATGGATGCTATCATTATTTCTATTTTACAAATAGAGGAACTGAGGAAAAGGGAGATGAAGAGATTTGTCCACAATCACTCAGCTAGTAAGAAGCAAAACAGGTCCCTGGTCCCAAGTCCTTGTACTTAACTGTGACTCTGGGACCCTCCAATAACAGGAATGTAACTTGAAAGAGCAGTAGAGCTCACCTCAATGTTGAGCAGGAATGCAGTCTTAGCCTCCTCTGTCACCCTGTGCTTGACCTCAGGTGTCATCTCCAGAGTGTTCATTCGAGCACGATAGAGCTGTTTGAACTTGGTGGGACTGTCGATGTTGGGGAAGGTAAAAAAGGCCAGGCCCTCACCGGAGCTGGGCAAGCCCAGGGCTTTCTGTGCAATCTTCTTCAGTACCTGGCCCCCTGAGAGGTCACCCAGGTAACGGGTGTATGTGTGGGCCACCAGCAGCTCGGGATGAGTGCACCCCACATCATGGAGGCGCTTCACATACTGCTGTGTGGCCGGTGTGTAAGGGATGGTCTCCTGCCAGTGGGGACCATACCAGAAGGCCATGTCCTGCTCCAGGGCAACCTTTCGGTGCAGTTCCTCAGGGAAGTAGAGCGGGGCATAGACTGGGTTCTGCTTATTGCGTTCTATCTCCTCCTCCAAGGCCGCATAGATGTGATACAAGGAGGCCATCACCAGCTGAAAACCAGAGCCGATTTCTCAGGTCCCTTCATGACTGACTTTTGGAAGGCTTCCTGTCCCCACCAGCCCACAGTCCCCTACCCCCACCCAGTTCAGAGTTCTTGATTGTGTGTCTCATGTTTTCTATTTCTTCTCTTTTTGATTTTTCAACCCACAGTCCCTCTGTGTAGCCCTGACTGTCCTAGTCTCTTTCTATAGACCAGGATAGTCTTGAACTCATAGAGATCAACCTGCTTCTGCCTCCTGAGTGCTGAGATTAAGGGTATGCACCACCACCACTCAGCTGTATCTGGTGTTTCCTACTTAGACATCAATTTTACAACTGTGCCAGGAAACAGCAAAATCAGAGCCTATTGTATACACTGAGTATTTTTAAAAGCCCTGATGTCAAAACCCCATTTCTCAGATGAGTTCAGGAGATTAAATGAGCTAGACAATCTCACTGTGAGGATAGAACACTGCAGGACTAAGGCAAACTTCCTCTTGCCTTCAGAAACAAATTGGAATTGAATAAAAAAAAATCTAGGTGTGGTGGTACATGCCTGTGGTCCAAATACTCAGGAGACTGATTCAGGAGCATTGAGAGTGTCTGAACTATGTAGGGAGGCTCTGTCCAATAATCCAAGAACTAGGATTGTAGGTCAGTGGGAGAGAACCCATCCAGTTCATGCAAGGCCCTAGGTTAACCAGGTCAAGAGTACACACTCTGAAATTAGGCCATCTTTGTTTGGTTTTGGTCTTTTCCACCTGTTTGGTTTTGGTCTTTTCCACCTAATACCTCTTAACCTCTTATCTACTCCTCAATATTGAGATAACATAGAGTAAGTGTTCACTTAACCGTCCTGCTGCCCAGGCTACTCTGTCAACATCACACAGCAGCCAAGAACTTAATATGTGATCCTATCGTCTCTTCTCTGAGCTAGTGTCAAAATTAGTAGGATAACTTCCTTGGACAAGCCCTCATCATCCCTACCTCCAACCTCCCCATTAAATTACTGGCTTGAGCCCTAGGCATATGTGTTATGCCCTCCTCCAATGCTCTGGACAACCTACATGTCATATACCTTAAAGCCTTCCCTGGTCACCTGGCCCTTCTGAAAGTTCCTCATGAACTCGGCATTCTCCGCCTGGATGTGCACCTCCTTGGTGGCCTCCTTCAAGGCCTCAGACAAATCCTTGAACATGCTGTAGAGGAAGGAAGGACAGTTAAAGGGTGGCTATGGATGGTTCTTCCCAAGCTCAACCTAGAATGCTGAGACTTCACCGTCACAGACTGGACCTGTAGATAGGTCCAACCTCCAAGCTAGACCAAGCCATGGTCTTAACCATGCAAATAATCAGCAGCCATTAAATATTATGGGATGTAGCCTCTCAAAACACTAGGAGAATTCCTATTCTAGTTATTCCCAGTGAAGGGAGGGAAGGTATGGCCTATCCACAGAGAGGAGTCATAAGGATGATCATGTTCAATAAAGGGTAGAAGGGTAGAATTTTTTTTTTTTTTTTTGCTTTTCGAGACAGGGTTTCTCTGTGTAGCCTGGCTGTCCTGGGACTTTTTGTAGATGAGGCTGGCCTTGAACTCAGAGATCTGCCTCCTGAGTGCATGCACCACCACTGTCTGGCTAAAGGTAGACACCCAGATAAGCATTTGGATCCAGCATGAAGGCTTTTCTTCCAAAAAGTTTCTATTATAAATTCTCAACCAGCTGGGCATGGTGATGTAGCCTTTAATCTGAGTACTTGGGAGCAGAGGCAGGCAGACCTCTGTGAGTTTGAGGGCTGCTCTATTTACATGGTGAATTTCAGGACCACCAGGGCTATGTAGGAAGAAAACAAAAACAAAAACGTGCACACACACCCACATTATAGTCAAAGTGTCTGCATTAAACAGTCTTTGTAATCCAGCTTTACTCAAAGTTCTGCAGCTAGAGTATTTGAGAGTTCAAGGCCAGCCTAGACAACTTAGTTCAGATACTGTCTTTAATTAAAAAAAAAAAAAGGCTGATGTTCCTTAGTGATAGAGTGCTTGCCTGGAATACCTGAAGTCCTAAGTTCAATTCCTAATGCTAAAGGACAGGGGTCAGGGGTAAACAGTGTGACATCACTCTGCCAGTAAAGGCACTTACCACCATGCCTGATAACGCCATCTTCCTTAAAAACCACTTAGAGGAAGGAGAAAAATGACCCCCTCAAGTTGTCCTCTGACCTCTACATGTTTAGTGTGGCACATATGTGGCCACTCTACATGCACAGTAAATGAAACACAGTGGTGGTGGCACACCTTTAATCCCAGCAGTTGGGAGGCAGAGGCTGGTGAGTTTCTGTGAGTTCCATCAAGGCCAGCCTGGTCCACAAAGTAAGTTCCAGGACACCCTAGGCTGTTACATTGAGAAACCATGTCTCAAAAAAGGAAAGGAAGAAAAGAAGGAAGGAAGGGAGGGAGGGAGGGAGAGAGGGAGGGAGGAAGGAAGAAAAGAAGAAAAAAAACAAAAAGAAGAGGAGGAGGAGAAGCCAAGTATGGTAGTGGAGCATCTTTAGTCCCAGCAAAGGGAAGCAAATTTGAGTTCAAGGCCAACCCTGGGAGGGAGGGGGTGTAGAGAGAGACCCAATCTTAGCCTAAACCCCTCTAGTCCTGATATTGCTGCCTCCCTGTACCTGCAGTTCTCCTGTGAGGTTGAGAACTACACAACCAAGGTTATGTCCAGCCTAACAAGTGACCACTTCGCGCCATTAGGAGCACCAAACATCTTCCCCGCCCCCTTAGAATACCGAGTCCAGGATCCAGGACTCAAGTAGTGTGCTCACCAGACCACAAACCTGGATACCACAAGGACACTCCCATCCTGTCACCCACAGGGTGTCAGAGGGTGAATCACATTTTCTTCCTCCAGCTGCCCATTGCTACAGGTAGAATGGGCGCTAACTCATCCCCTAGCCCTGCAGCATTCCCAGGCAGGTGAGACAGGGGACGCAGGTCGCTACACTCCCCAAGCAGCTGCTTGCCTGTCGGGCTGTGGTGGACGTTCCATCACTGGGCTGGGCTGGCTCAGGCTGGTCTGTCCGCTTTAGGCTCCGGGCTATGCGCGAGATGAGATGGCTGTGATCCGGCAGGCTCCACTCAATGGTTGTCTGCTGAAACTCTGGAGGTGACAGGCGACTGTGAGCAGCTGCCGGGGCCAGCCCTTTAAGTAAGCGGGTCACGTGGCCACCGCGCAGCTGAGCCCGAGTTCTGGCTTGTGTTGCAACACCCCGCCCCAGGGCGGGCTGGCCTGGTCTGCAAGGCAATAAGTCATATGACTCTGGCAAGCACTGTTACAGGATCTTAAAAGAAAAGAAAAGAAAAGGAAAGGAAAGGAAAGGAAAGGGAAGAAAAGAAAAGAAAAGAAAAGAAAAGAAAAGAAAAGAAACCTGAGTGAGTTGCCTGTCAGCAGGATTTGGATCCTTTCCAGAACCCTCTCTACAAGAGGACAGGAGTAGCCCCTCTGGAATCTGGAAGGTTCCAGAACTAATGGACAACACTTGTCAGAGTGAAATGCTGGTGGGCAAACTCTGGGGACTGACCCACCAGAGGCCCCTGAATCTACCTGAGTCTGCCCTCCCAGAATTCTAAGGACAGCTGGTTTTCTCACCTTCTTTATGGACACTCAGTCCTTGCTTGGTTTGCCAGCACCTGCTGAGACTAACTCTTCTATGGTTCATCCCTATATATCATGCTGGGTAGATGGCTCAAGATTCACAGGTGGGGAAACTGAGCAGGGGGATAAAGTGTGCTACTAGGGTTCTCATATAGAACTCAGCACTCTTCTACAACCTGGTCCACACCATGACTCCTGATGCCTAAGAGCAGAGGACCTTGAAGTCAGTACTGACTGTGTATGTGTGTGGGCCCGAATGTGTGTCTATATGCATTTATGCCACATGCATACAAATGTTGGAGAAGGCCAAAGGATGGGTCCCCTAGAGCAGGTGGTGGGAAGCTGCCCATGCGGGTCTGGGAACCAAACTCAGGTCCTCTTTAAGAACAGCAAGTACTGTCAGCCTCTGAGCTATCTCTCCAGCTCAGAAGTGACTTCTCGTGTCAACAAGGATTTCAAGTTTTGTTTGTTTCTTCTTCTGTTTTTAGGAATATCATTTAGAGTGGTGGTTGCATATCCTTGGCTCTGAAAAATGGTGAATGGAGGTTGGCAACTGCCTGTCAAGGATGGATTCCCCCATAGAGAGAGATGGGATGGCCCAGGCTCATCTGCATGTGCCCAAGAATCTGTGGTACTTGGTAAAGAGTACTGTGCCACTTGTGCCACTCTGAACAGTTAATAATAATAGCAAGAATGAGGCTGGACAAAGGCTCTTGATGGGCTGTCATGACACTAAGCTTCCAGAAAGGGCTGAAACCAAGCTATGGTCACAAAGTGCAGTCCTAATCATCCTTTGCAGAGTGCTTGTTGTGTGCAGAGGCTCAACCCATCCCTACAATAGCCCACAAGAGCTGTTCAACCACTGTTTCTATCTCTCTTTTGTCTACTTGACTCTAATGAGGAACAGTGAAGTCAATGAATCTTCTTGTCACTCAGATATATTATTGGTAGAACAAGGATTCTAGCCTTGGTAACAAGAAGCCAGGCCTCCCTTCTAAATACCCTATCCCAAGCCCTGTCATGGAGGGTTCAGGAGTTTAGGAGGAGATAATGAGAAATCTGTAGATCTAGAGTCTGTTATTCTGAGGACCCCAGAAAATGAAACTCACACTGTGAGTCTCCTTTTTGACACGGGGAGCTGGGACACCCAAAGAAGGAAGCACTCACTGACTCAGACTGTGGCCCATTAGAAACACAACCTTTGCTTACCCTGAGTTTCAGACTCCTGGGGTCTGACTTACTCTCTGGGAGCCTCAAATGTAGCTAGAAGATAGGCTACACAGAATTTGGGGACAGAAGCAGCCAGAGCAGGCTGTTCTGGTCCCTTCCCAGCCCCTCCCATTGCCCCACTGAATGTGCTCCCCACCCCACATGCCCATACTGACTCAGTTTTCTGGAGTCCTTTGCCTCATGCAACCAAAAGACCCCAGTCCATGACTTTCTTCCTGCTTCAGTGGCTAGCTGAATACCCACCCCTCAAAGATGTCTACACCCTCATATCAAGACCAGAGGAAAATTCTGAAGCAGATGTGAGGCTGTCCTGGACCATCCCTCAGGATTCAGGGTCATTACAAAGTGCATGATGGGTCCAGATGCAGTTGATGGATGAGGAAAGAAAGTGGCAGAAGAAGACAGAAAGATGCTGACATGCCTCCTATAAAGTTGGGGGACACAGCTGCAAGCTGACATGCACAGGCAGCCTCAGGAAGCTAGAAAGATGGGGGAACTCCTGCTACAGGAGTATCCAGCCTTACCCATGCTCCACCTCCCACCCATCCCATCTCACAGGTTCCCTTGGTGGATTTCAGGATAGACCCCTAAGAAAGGGGTCAGCTTTCCATCCAGCAGATGGGATTGCCAGCTTCTGCACCTGAGAGGAATAGGGTGAATACCAGCAACTCTGTGCGTGTATGTATGGGTGTGTGTGGGTGTGTGTGTGCTTGTGTATGTGTGTGTGGGTGTCTGTATGTATGTGTGTGGGTGTCTATATATGTGTGTGTGTGTGTGTGTTGGGGGGTTGTTGGAGATGTGGGAGTGTGTGTATGTGTGTGCACACCAGTTTGAAGTGTTACAAACAATTTAGAACCAAACAAGAGGCTTTCATTTCCTCCTGCCTGAGGCTAAAGCTGCCCTTTTACCAACTAACTATTTAGAGGAAAGCTGCGGAAGCAGAGGGTGACTCAGCAAAATCTGTCTTCCCTTTGTCTGCAACAACCATGACACAGCATAAAAGCAGCTACAAAGCTGTGAGGAAACCACAACTCATCATTGGGGGAAGGGATGGTGGCAAAGATTTTGGTTTTGCTTCCAGGCTATTGTGGAAAATGAGGTCCTGGCTCTGGGTGGGGTCTGGTGTTCTTTGTGCCTTTTGTCCCAGTTAGATGACAGTAAGGGGATTTGTGGGTATCTTCAAGCAGGAATCCTCAAGCGAGGGCATGTTGACTACACCATGCCTAAGACAGACCAGCAGGAGACATGTGGGATAAGCAGCCTTTATATACACTGTGTACCAACAGAGAATACAGACCAAAGCTGAGAAAACTCCCAATAGCCTGCCCGATACCAAGA